AATTAATCAATTTAGAAATTTTTATCAAAATAAAATATATTATTAAATTTATATTCAAAAGAACTATTTATATTTATTAATTCTTGAAAATTTTATAGTTTTTAGATAGTAAATTTATTTTTTAAAAAAGAATAAAATTCAGGAAATTATGCTTACTTTAAATTCCATATCCATTAAAATGGTAAGTTATCAACAATATAAAAATGAAGTAGTGTTAACTTTAGACCCTCCAATTTTAATCTTGAAATCCAACGGTCGAGATATGTGCTATCAAAATCTGATGAACCGGCGGAGGTAAGGAACTCCAGAAACGGTTGCTGGTTAGCCAAAAGCGGGAAAGAGGAGAAAGGAATATTCTGGGTGAGACAAAAGGGATATTCAGAAGGACAATATGCGGGAATGTTATGGACACGTGTCGCCCTTCAGATATTCTCCTCTTTCTTTTAAATCCTTTTTAAAAAAAGTTTTTTATTTCCTGTTCTTTTTTTTTTTTAAATAAAAGGTGTGGGTTGGAGTGTAGCTTCAAGCACAAGACTCAATCATATTCATTATCGCCTCTCTCCCTCTCTCTCCCTCTCTCTCTCTCAAAGGAATTCGATGCACTCTTCTCTTTTCCTTCTCATTTCCAAATTACTAAAGCATTCATCTTTTTTTCCCCATACTTTAAGTCATTCTTTTTTTTTTTTTTTGGTTTTCTCAGGACAGAAATGCACTACTGTTTGCGAATTACAACGAAGATCTAAAACTTGTTTAAATTTGGATCGGACCCAATTGGTTAGAGCCGAATGAATCGTAATCGGATCTTATCGGCCCATGTGCCAGAATACGGTTCGTATATACCAAGATCTCTGAAACAACCAAAAGGAAGCGCCCGATTAGATTTGCATTCAAAATCAATTGATTGTATGAAAATCGATTTTAGCAAAAATTATTCAAACACCTGTATTACATATTAAAATTAATTATGAATTTAAAATTATGTTTACTTAAAAATATTCAAATACCCATCATACATATTAAAATCAACTATGAATTCAAAATTATAATTTTTTTAAAAATATCTAAATACCTCTTATTATGTTAAAATCAATTATGAACCAAAAAATATGATTTATAAACTAATTTATTTAATTTTTGGATAAATTTTTAGAAATGTAGAGTTGAAAAGCATGTAATAATAGCTTATAAAATAACTTTGATTTTGAATTCATAAATCAATTTGGCATGTACAAGGGTGTTTGGATTTTTTTTAAAAACATGATTTTGGATTCATAATTAATTTTAATATGTAACATGAGTGTTTAGATATATTTTTACAAAAATATAATTTTACCTTATTTTCAATTTTGCCTTTTAATTTTGCTTTTCAATTCCACTTTTCAATTATGATTAAAGTCAACCTTATTCATCAATTTTTTAATCAATTATATTTAATTGAAATTCAAACACATCTAAAGTAATCTACCCCAAAAAACTTGTATTTATTTATTATTACCAATGAAATAACAGAATTAGATCACAAAATTTGTATCTCCTAGTTTTGAGAGAATTATAGTTAGTTCCTAAAATATTGATTTAGTGATGATTAAGTCGCTAATAATTTGATTAAAAATAAATTATAAATTTTAATTCAGATAGTTTTAAATAGAAATCTCAAAATTGCAAATTACATTTAAAATTTAGATGTCTTCTTTACAATTGAAAATTGCATTATAATACACTCACAATCTGCATCTATTCATAAAATTTAAGCTCCATGTGTTGCCAAGAGAGCCTACATTTGTTTGGATGGGGGAAAAGTGAAAAGAAAATAGGTAGTAGAGAAAATTAGGTAGAGAAATTTTTAAAATAAAAAAAATTAAAATTTTAGGAGAATTACATTCAGATCCCACAAAAAAAAATTAAAAGCCACTAACAACACAATCACTTGTCAATAAATTTTATAATAATTATTTTTTTTTGTGAGACTTCAATATAATTCTTCCTAAAATTTTATTTCTATTTTCCTTCCTCCTTATTTTACTTATTTATAAATAATAGAATTTTATATGCAGGTTATGAATATAATATTGAAATGAATTTCGAATATCATTAATGTTATGTTCCCATTCGACACTAAAAAATATTCTTTTATATTAAGAATTAAGAAATTAAAATAAACAGCATCATCGAGAGACTAAGCAGTTTTTTTTATTAAACAGTTATTTATATTAACTGTCAATTAAAAGGGTCAGTTCAGGCATGATTGACGTTTCTTAAAATTAGCAAGTGATCCATCAATATAACTAAAATGTCAAAATATCACTCATGAACATACGCATTTTTGTTTCCTCCAAAGTCTGGTACATATGTGTGAAATGAACGTGAATATTCCAAAACCACCCAATATATGTATCAGTTATATGCAAGGTACGTAAAACCGGACCGGTCATTAAACCGGTCATGGCACTGGGTCACGGGTTAGTGGTTCAATCAGGGTTGAACCGGGGGTTGAACCGGTGGCAAACCGGTCATGATTAAAATAATACAATTTAAATAAAAAGACATTAATTATAAAAACATTCAACCAAATCCAACCACTCAAAAGTCTAACAATAATAAAATACTATATTTTGGACTTAGCATGCTCTATCTCTAATTTTTTATTTTTTGACTTCAATTTTACTTTTTTTTGTTATTTTTTTCCGAACTCAGAGCTCTGAAAAATTAAAAATGAAAAAAAAAAAAAAAATGACGTCATTTTGGGGTAAAAGTCTGAAAAAATATTAACCCGGTTAACCCAGTCAACCCACCGGGTTATCCGGGTTATACCGGGTTGAACCCGGGTTGACCGGGTTACACCGGTTCACTCCCTCACCGGGTTAAGTGCAAACCCAGACCGGACAGGGGACCGGTTCACCGGTTTCCGGGTTGACCCGGCCGGTCCGGTCCGGTCCGGTTTTCAATACCATGGTTATATGTGTGAATTCGAAACAATTAACTTTTTGATTCTGGGGGAAAAAAGAATTAGCTAGCATTAAATAAATATAATTGCATATGCCATATTCATAACGCGACACAATATTCGCGTGAAAAAACGAAGGATCGTGTATTTGCATGAGTCACGTACAATATCCATATCCAGTTTGGAAAATTCTAGATGCTATGAAGAGCAGTGAAGCTGAAGCAGACTAGCCGTCCACTATTGCTATATTTGTCGTTTACTTAAAATTTCTGAATATAAATAATCCGGTTTATGATGTGTTGATAATATACTGAATAAACGAAAAGCTAAAATAAAAATTTTAATTAAAATGACCAACACTTCAGATAAATTATAGTCATTGTTAGATCTACTCCTAATTAATACGTGGATGGGTTAATAGTTAATACATTTAAACTTTTATTCACTGAAAATGCGAGACAATAATTATCATTAATTACACTACCGTATCGATTTGAAAATATCTATAGTAGCGTGAAAGAAGACACGTGATGTTTGGTTATGTGAAATCCTGGAGGAATCAAGTAGTCGTGACCCTGACCCAATGGACAAACTTCCAGGATCCGATCCGGATGAGGGGATGGATCTCGGGACCCATATATGTGTAACGAAAAGAGAATCTTGTTACCTTCCAACCCACTTCACTAAAGTGAGTAGCAGAGGAAGATTCTTCTGGCCGGGTTAGCCTCCTTTGTAACTCTTTTGGAGGGTTAATTTTATTTTATTATATTCTTCCTTTAAGCTTCGTGGGTTGTGCTCCCTTAATTTAGAATCGCAGAATTGGGACTAAGATATTCCTTCCTTAGAGGCAAAATATTTTATTCTTTATTACCAATGTCGCCAATTTTTTTTTTTTTTTGGGCCTCCTGAGATTAGATATTCCTCCCATTCTTCTCTCTGATCAATGCACTAAACCTCCTGCAGGACAATTATGCAACTTTCTAGACTGAAAAAAAAAAAAAAAGAGGAGTAAAGTTGCATTGCAAGGTGGATTGATACTAAAACCTATTTGAATATGTGCTTTAATTTCTCTCGCCCTCCTCTCTCTCTCTCTCTCTCTCTCTCTCTCTATCTATATTCAATTTCAATGGGAAAATCATGTTGCATGGTATATGCTAGCTTCCCACAAGGTCATGGCCATTAATTAATCATGGTAGAATCATTAGTTTCTGCTCTAACACATGATCAATGTAAGGACATCCACAAGTACTCTACTACTTTGCCATGCATTTGGCCAGCATCTTCCACCCCCTGCTGATTTCTCTTTTCGGTGCTGTGTTGCGTCCGGCTAGAAATATGTGCGTGTTTTGATCAATTAATTACAGTTCCATACAAAGAATCCAAGATTTTCACAAAGAAGACGAAAATCACTCTCTGACAGCCATATTGAATGTTGATGATCCTTTCAGAGGACTAATATATATATATTGTATGTAAAGAGACCTTTGAACCAAAATTTTGGATATCCATTCACTGAATAAATTCAGTCTCAAATGGAAAGAATAATGAACAGTGGGGGGAGAAAAGGAAGAGAAAAGAAAAGTAGCAGGAATGATTCGCAGTTAATGAAGTTTTGATTTGAAATTGGCAGGAGAATCTGGGTTTCATTTGCGGATATATCTTTATAATTACAAAGGAAAAAAAGGAGTGCAATGGGCATAAAAGAAAGATTAAAAGAAAAAAAGAGGGGGGTAACAGTAAGAAGAAGAATCATCTTTCTATATTGGTGATTTTGAATTCGTACAAAGACTACTCTAAGGTTCTTAAACCAGGCTCTAAGCACATGACCCTCTAATGTCAGGCTCACTGATTCCTTCTCTCCATCTCTCTGCTTTTTTTTTTTTTTTAAATCTTTTCCCCTTTTGCCGTGGTTCTTTGTAGGAAGTTACATCCCACTGCTTTATCTTCTGCTTTTTCTTTTCTCTCTCTCTCTCACACACACAAACATACTGCTTTATTCCCTCTTAAACTCGCCCTAAAAAGAAGACGATCCTCCCTCGATCCTCCTTGTGTTCATAAACATTAATCTCCGCCCTCCCTCCTCTCTCTCTCTCTCTCTCTCTCTCTCTCTCTAGTCCCCACCAGAACTCAAACAAAGAAAGGAAGAAGCCAAATACCCTCTTTTGCTCGTGTTTTTTCCTACATACCAACCTGCGCCTATTTTGGCATGAACATCTTCTTACACAGTGATTGTTAGGAGTTATATATTTACTTTTTGTACGTGAAAAAAATGGGTTCTCCGTCTGAACTAAGCCTGGATTGCAAACCGCACAGCTATTCTTGGCTTCTGAAATCGTTTGGAGATCAGGCAGATCATACCTACAAGCTTGAAGAGTTCCTTTCTCGGCTCCAGGAAGAACGTCTCAAGATTGATGCCTTCAAGCGCGAGCTTCCTCTCTGCATGCAGCTTCTTACTAACGGTACACCTCCAAATGATCACTAACGTTAGACTCGTCTCTCATGCACATGAAAATTAACAAAATCAAAACCCTCCAATAAACTAAACGCAGAATCAGAAACCAGCTTCCAGATTCAATATATCAGCAATAAACTGGTGGTATATTCATTCTTTTGATCTTTCCAATGGCTATTAAAATCAAACTTTTTCTTTATTTTGTTCTATCTATTCTTCCTCTTCTTTTCCTTTTCCTTCGTCGGATAGGAGATAGCTTTATCTGTTTGGGAAATCATATCTCAGGCTTTATCCTTTGAATGCAAAGTAGTCAGCAATTACTTGCTCTGGATAGTAACATATCATGCAAACTATTTCCTTTTTCTTTTGCGTTTCAGCATCTTCTTCTTTTGCTTATACGATTCAGTTATCCTAATCATAATTTGATCTTGGGACAGCTATGGAGGCCTCAAGGCAGCAACTTCAGGCCTTCAGAGCAAATCAAGGCACGAGGCCAGTGCTAGAAGAATTCATACCCATCAAGCAATCAACCTCTGAAAGCTCTGAGAAAGCATCCAACGTATCAGACAAGGCAAATTGGATGACATCTGCTCAATTATGGAGCCAAGCAAATGAAGGGACCAAGCCGCAGTCCACAATCACATCCCCTAAAGAAGCTGATATTGGTTTCAGTGTGAGCCCTAAGCTGCCTCTTGACAACAAACAGAGGAATGGGGGAGCCTTTCTGCCATTCTCAAAAGAACGAAACTCATGCCAAGGTGGCTCCACATTACGGATCATCCCAGAGTTAGCCCTCTCCTCTGTTGAGAAAGAAATGGAGGACAAGAAATGCACAGAGCCAGAAAATGCAGTGTCATGCCCCAAGAGGGAAAATTCCGGTAAAGCCGGCGGAGGCAACGGTACTGGAGTGGTCACTGATCAAGGCAAAGGGGTTTCAGTTGCATCTGATCCGCAAACAACCAGCACCATCAACACCACTAACCAAGCTCAGAGGAAGGCAAGAAGATGCTGGTCACCCGACCTGCACCGCCGATTCGTAAATGCTCTTCAGATGCTAGGCGGATCTCAAGGTATAAAAATTTTAATTGAAAATTATATATACATATACTCATCTTGCAATCATTAAGATGATAAAGTCTTGTTATTTTCATCATTATTACTGCTATCATATGCAAGGGACAACTTAGATTTTTCCAATTTTTTCAGTGGCTACTCCAAAGCAGATAAGGGAGCTGATGAAGGTTGACGGTTTGACCAATGATGAAGTTAAAAGCCATCTCCAGGTATCTCTCTATCTATCTATCTATCTTTCCCACTCTCTTTTTTTCCTCAGGCATGGACACGCGGGACAGGCATGAAAGAAGAGGTACAATTAAAATTGCCTTGCCAGTCTCACTGACAACGTACCATTCTGCGGCCTGCAGAATGCATATTCGGCATTTCCAAATCACACTTTTCTTGTTTTTCAATTTTCTTTCTCTCACTCATCCGCCTCTCTTTTGTCTCTGCACAGAAATATAGGCTTCACACACGACGTCCAAGTCCAAGCCCACAAGCAGCCGGGTCACCAGCACCTCAGCTCGTAGTCCTAGGAGGAATCTGGGTCCCACCGGAGTACGCCGCCGCCGCCGCCCACACTGGCGCCCCGGCCATCTATAGCCCACACCCAACCTCCCACGCGCCTCCACCGCACTATTGCACCGCAACACCAGTGCACCAAGAATTCTACGCTGCAGCGGCGCCGCAGCCAGGTCCGCCGCACCACCACACGCTGCTCCACCACCACCACCTTCAGATGTACAAAACGAATTCGCACCAGGGCTCTCCGGAATCAGAGATGCGAGGAGGGGGAGAGAGGTCGGAGAGTATAGAGGACGGGAAGTCGGAGAGCAGCAGCTGGAAGGGAGAGAGCGGGGAGAACGAAGGGGAGCGGAAAGGGCTTGCGGCACTGAGAGAAGAAGGAGAAGAGAGTCATCGGAGCGAGACGACCCTGAAATTCTAGGGTTCATGATAGATTCAACATTAGGGTTTTTTTCTATGCACATGCATGAATTGACGATGAGTGGTCAAGTATTAGTATTAGTATTATTATTATTCATTCAACAAGCGAAGAAAAGGAAGCACATATCATGTGTGTCGCCACAACTTTATTATTAATAGGCACCTATATATGTATATGTATGGATATGGAAGTGGAGAGGGTAAAAAGGGCATAAAAGTGAGCGTTTGTTTTGTTCCGTTTTGTTTTCTATGCATTCATATATGTGTTATTTACTCCAAAAAATTACTACGGGATTCCATCTACGTCTCTCTCTTTTTCTGTTTTTTTTTTTCCCAGAGAAAAGCAATTGACATTGTTCAATTGTTAATGGGGTTATATATGTTCCCTCAAAGTGGCGCAATGTTGGCTTGGATTGACGGGAGCACACCACGGTGACCCAACACTGAGTTAATTTAGATCATGACGTGCTCTGTTCACCTGACTTATATTGTGTCAAAGTGTTTTCCACGTGGCAATTAAGAGAATGAAGACGTGGTTAATGAAAAATTACATGAGTGTCATGAAAAAGTTTACCCTGAATCAAATCAAAGTCAAGCTCTGACAGAAAACCTATTTTTCAGGTCAAACTCAACCTTATGTGTTTTATGCCGTGGCAAAGCCAAGATCCGAAATCAAGAAATGCAAATCAATTTAAAAATTAATAAATTTAAAAAATAATTACATTAGACCAAAATATAATAACATACGTATATTTTTATAAGAAAAACATATATTGAGAATCTGTTTGGGCAAAAATGTGTTAGAAAAGTTGATATAGAGTTTAACTTCGAAAGAAAAGCTACCTTTACTTAAAAAGGTAACTTAATTTGATGTGGTTGGATTTTATTATTTAAAATTTTAAAACTAAAGTACAAGATTGTAAATTTGACACATTCCATATATAAATTTTTTTCTATTTGCCTCCCTCACATGCATGTGGCTCCGCCACTTAATTTATGCCATCTAGTCAAGGGTGGAACAGCATTAATAGTTAGGGGGCCAATTCTCAAAAAGCAAAAGATATGTTCTTAATTTAAACTTTTAATTTTATAATTTAAAAATATTAGATAAGAAATTATAAAAAATTATATGTACTTTTTAGAAAATTTTTGAAACAGTTAAAATAAAGTCATATGATATACTTATGCCCTCTTCGCCCCTTATATTATAAGGTACCTTCCAAAATAAAAGTTAGTCTACATTATAAGATGTCTTGTTGGGATAATAAATAATGCTCCATTTTTTGTAAAATATTTTTTAAAAAATAAAACAATCTAATAATTTTTCTTAATCTACGTAAAAAAAAACGTTGAAAAGTATACGTAAAAGGCAAAGGGAGTATATCTCTAAACCACAATAAAAAAAAATCTTGCCTAATTCAAAATATATGATATAGAGTATATATAATATTTATTGACAAAAATATGCCTGTAGATTTTAATTATCATTATTAAGACACTTGTATAAAATGTTAAATGAGGATATAATTAAAAAAATATACAATATTTTAAGAGATTAAGATTTTATCTAACTTTTTTGAGAACGGTGCAATACTTACTAATGTTATATATTATAACCTAAAGAGAATATATATGTATGTATGTATGTATAAAATTCGTACATATATATGTGCATAATGTAAGACACTATTTTAATTGTGGGGTTATTGTGGAGAGTGTGTATGAGAATGAGGGGGGGATACAAAGAAAGTGCACAGGGCTGGCCCCTCTTGGAACACGTAGTTTCGCCGCTGCATCTAATCCTCTTGTCAATGTAAACTGATGTTGTACTATTCTCACATATCCATAAAAACTTAACGATAACAATTGCTCTTCTTTAAAATTATGCTTCTAGGATACAACTGTACTTTAATCCTTTCTTTATTAGTTGATTCTATTTTTCCCTAAAGATGATGATCATGTATAAAATTGATGAGCGAGAAAACTTCTTCTGAGTAGAAATTAGATCAGTTAAATTTTGGTCAAGCATCATTTTTTAATATTTAATATGATGAAATTCAAATAGAACAAGTATATCCTTAATTTTTGTCATGCATATATTACTTTTATTTGGTTAAAAAAAATAGCAAACACTTCTAAAATAGTCTTAAAACTAGAGAATTACCAACGGTACGTAGGGAATCAATTTCCAAATGTTACGGCTGGACAACATTTCACACTCCTCGTTAGGCGCTTGGATCTCATTAAAAGTCATACACATGCAATATATGTTTTTTTTTATGTATAAAAAAAAAGCAAGTTATACTTTTATTCTTTCCTTAACATGAATTTAGGCTTGGTGGGCCTCTTGCACATGAATCTTCAGCTTAGAGTCATCGTCTGAATTAATCAACTGCTAATCTTTACCGAAATACCCCTAAAACGCAAAGTTCTGATCCATTTAGATCTTGACATGGTGAAGCTCAATGATGACTAATTAATTTAAATAATTACGCAATACTGTTGTCTTATTATTATTTTTTATGCATATCAATTTATTTTAAAAGTCACGTTGGGATCACTACACCTAGGTGAGAGAGGATGAGTGAGAAACCTAATAAGAGAGGGTTTGCTAGGGCTAGTGTTTCGACTCCCACAACCAACCCTTTAGGGGGGAGTAATGGAGTCCGATCATATGAGGAGGAAGTTGTGCTTGAGAGGAGCACCAAAAAACTAGACGACGATACTATCATGTAAGGGGTTCAGAAGAAAATGATGCTCATATGGAAGAATCAATCCACGCAAGGGAACAACAGACACATGCAGACAAAGCAAAGCCAAAACAACTCTCATACAAGGCTGAATTACTGGGGAAGAAGACCATGACACCTACTGAATCGAACTTTGAGGAACTTTTCAAGGAATGGCTGAATGAAGAAATTTGCAATGCTCCGGTTTGGTCAGAAGAATAACAGAAAATTGTGAATGAATTGCCAAGTCTACACATGCCTGATGAACAACTAAAAGAACTTTGCAAACCTTGGAAACACTTGCTTATTATCACACCCCTAGGGAAGAGAATGCATCTAACTGAACTTAAGATGAAACTGCAGAGAATGTTTGGGTACTTATGACTTTAAGCTTATTGATTTCAAAAACAACTACTTCACTTTCAGAATGAATAACAAATAACTCTATCAAAAGTTCTCAATGATGGTATATCGGGACATTGTCTAGCCATCTAAAGATGGAGTCCTAATTTCAACCCCTCACCAACCAACTGAAAAAACTTGCCTTGTAGGCAAGGATACTTGTGCTACCTATGCACTGCTGCAACGAAGATTTTATGTGGGAAATAAGGAATGTGATCGGCAAGCTCTTAAAGTAGACATGAATACTCTTGCACAGGTGAACTAGCACAATACTGTTAAAAGAGGTAGATTTGCTGCTCGAGTCAACATTGAAGTGGACCTTACAAAACCTCTACCTTCACGGTTTATCATTTGGAAAAAGATCTTCACCATTATGTATGAAGGCATCAATCTCATCTGCTTCAACTATGGGAAGATTGGCCATAAAAATGATTATTTCCCCATGATCAAACCTATAGAGAAAACACCAGTTGGTGAACATCAGAAACATCCTTCAAACGGAACTAACGGGCAACGAGGTTCAGCGTCAAATTTCCAATCAACACCAATGAGATTCTGATTGAGGTCCAATATGGTGAGTGGACGCTAGAAAAGTGACCTGTCAAAGCAAGAACATTAAAACCTGAGCCAGCTAATGCTAGAATAGAGATGTATGTTGAACAAAAGGATTTTACGAGTGAAGGGAGGAAAGGTACATACCTCATCCAAATTTTCTGTCTTAGCAGATGATTTGGAGGTAGAACTGAGACAAGAACCAGAAAAGTCTTACACTAAAAAGGCTTCAAATCAAATCTGAAGAAGAAAGAGAACGCTGCCAAACCAGAAGAAAGCAAGGGAATGAAAGATGATGAGGAGGGTGGTACAGAGATGTCAGCTCCCTTGCGCCATGAGAAAATGCATCTATAGCTGATAAGAAAGACTGCAACATAAATGATGCTGAATGGATTTTCTCCTTTAAGGCTAAAGTCCACAAAGGAGGTCATACCAGGAAAGGGAAATCACCAATCAGTGGGCCGAAAAAATGGGCTTAATTTTAAAAAAGAAAAAAATAGAGGCAATGGGCTGAAACGAAACCAAAACACCAGGCCCAAGATCCTATTACCTACTCTGAAATGTAAACTCTCAACAAGGGGTCTATAATGTCATGGTGGGTAATATAGCTTTTAAAGGCCCACTTTTTCCTAAGCCACCAACCCAAAATGATGTTAATATGGTCCAATTAAGCCACATACATATGCAAAATAATCCCATCATGAA